ATTTGTGTACAACGATGTCACTTATTCAGAAGACGTCTTCCTATAAGAAAGAAAAACTGCAATCAAACTCGTCATAAGAACGTCATTACTATAGGAAATTGTTTAGTGTGTATTTTCTTTGTGTATATAGTGCAAAACCGTGCAGGTAACGTCAAATGGTTTTAAATCCAAGGATATAATATGTACTCGCTCGCTCGCTCGCTCGCTTTCTTATTGCGATAGTTTCATTTAGAAAGCCTAGATTTATATATATATTTATACATATCAAGGCTCTCTAGTTTGCGTTATTTTATACATCGGTACAAAATGCGACTATTCGTGGATTTAAAACCGTTTTAACGTCACCGTGTAAACGTGGTAATTGTCATAAAAATAATATTATGTTGCATCGTATGGCTTGTGGCGCTCGCGTGCCCACGCACACGTCCGATTTTAATTACGAGTGAGTGATTAAGCTGTTATTATTATTAGCTATTATTATTTCGGACAAATTACCAACGATGACAGACGACCGTCATTTTTTAACGCGGCGTGCAATCACTAATTACTCGGATGTCATTGTTATCGCCTCAGTCATCGTAAATCGTCGTCCGCGTACACTGTCCTATCGCTATTATAAGTCAATTACCGGTCCATTCAGCGTAGCGCCACCACACCGCGTCCAAGATAGTTGCGAAGAGAGGGCGTTTCGTCTGAGCGCATTCTGTTTAATCGCATCGTCTGGGCCAACATTAAAACCTAGTACATTTGCCACCTACTATGCAGACAGTGGTATAACACATATTTCGTAAGTCAGTTATATGGATAAAAAAAGACCGCCATGTTAAACTATGTAGCGTTGAATCAAAGTAAGGGGGCACATTAACTATGTCACGTGGTTAAAAAGTGATTTATTATCATTTTTTGAAACTTTTTAACCCAACTAACTACGAAATTGGGTAGGTAATTAGAAAATTAATTTAATACCTTGAATCGATACTTCAAACATTTTTAACAAAATGTTTTGATTTTACTTTAACATTTTTACAAATCACTATGCTTGAATTGTATTATCGTATGGTAATTAAAAATAGATTGACTGACTTCTGCTTGACTGAGCTGAGTTAATATTTTTCTCCATTTTAACTTTTAAGTTAAATATATATTGTTTATTAACTAATTAAGTAATAACTAATCCAAGGTAATTTTTCGTTTTCCAACCCACCTTTGAGAGTTTTACCCGGCTATAATGACTGTATAGTAATTATACCTATATATATACTTATAAGCATACTTATATATAAAATTATAAACCTATATTGTCATAATTTATTATTCAAATGCGCAGTGTGGCCGCACACCATCCGCATATAACTTCTTTCAGTGTTTCGAAATTTTAAAACAGAGAGCCCTTAAGTGCGTTAAATATAGGTGCGTATCGTGCACTGAATTGGAGTGATTTTTCATAACAATCGGCTGGGGAAAATGTTCGGAGAAAAAAAAATGTTTGCGCGCTATGGTAATTTTACTGTATTTATACCTACGTGACAACTGGACAAACGACAATGAAACAATTTAATAACACTATTAAAAGTGTTCGCCAATACCTGCAGAAGACCGCTGACCCAAAACGATGGTAACTATTGCCCATCTCATCATCGGAAATAAATTGATTTTAGGCTACGAAAACTCCATAGTTGTTAGCAAATTGCTGTTATTACAAATTGTAAAATACCTATTAAAATACACTTCCGAGTGTGACTGCGGAATGATGGAATGAAATTATACTGCAGAGTGCAGGTCGTACGACGAATAATGATTTGTATTTGAAGAACAGTGTTTATAAATAATTAGATTTCTCGATCGAAGGAAAATATTGAGTTTATAAACACATTTTTTTTTTAACATCAGTTTTTCGCCGTACAATATTTGCTTGTCGGAAAAAAAATAATAATTTCTAAATTAAAATTTTACTTTTCAGTCTGGTCGGCCTATCAGGTAAAAAAAATAAATCTCGTTTGTGCTCATCGCCGCCGTATGAAAACAGGGAGAAAGACTGTCGATATGTATTATTATATATGTTTCCGCATTATAGCGTGCACATATAGGCGCGTGGTGAGAGTAGACAGCGTACGTGTAACAACAATGATCATAACGTGCGGCGAGTGAGAGCGATTATTGGCATCAGCATCGGCCGCAAGCGAATGTGCGGTGATATGCAACACGACAATTATATATAATAATAATAATGTATCTATATGTTATCTAAACGACGACGATATGGGTAGATATATATCGACGACTCGCGGTCGAGACCGGAAATAAATTTTCCACAGCCGATTACCGGGCAGCGCATCCGGAAAATTGTACCCGAAATCGGAGGACTCGGCGGCGGCGGTCCGTCGATACTATCGACCGATGTGCCGATATCAGTCGCTCACACTCGAACACACACACACACACACACACACACACACACACACACACATACACATGGCAGTTATTAAAACTCTCACCCGACGTTTCGCCAGCTCCCCTCCATCTCGCCCATCTATCAGACGAGCAGTCGTCGTTGTTTATAATATTATAGTTGATGAAACGGTTTGAAATCCACGGATACTCGCTTTCTTACTGATAGTTTGAGTGGTTTTATTTACCAATAAAAATGCAAGTGTCCGTTGATTTATGACCGTTTTGACGCATATAAATGTGACTATATTTACATTAATTCAATTTGAAATGTGTAAGATAAATTAAGACATTTCATCTCATTAATTAATTCTAATATTTTTTAATACCTGTCTACTTAATTAAAGTGTAATTTCTATACAGAAAATGAGAAAAAAATTGTGTTTATAAATATAATAACTACATATTACCCATTTTTTAAAATTATTTTTTTATGAGAAAAATGCAGTCTTATTGTCCAGGATTTCTTAAAATTTAAACTGGCCGGGTGAACCTGCTATAAATATCAATAGTAATGGGAATTTGTTTAATTGCTGCAGTTTTCTGCTAATTGTTAAATTAATTACAGATTACAGAAAAAAATTAATTTTAAAAATAAATTAGCCACAGCCCACAACATGGTTTTATATTTTAATATAGCTATTAAAATAGATAGAATAGCTAATCTTCCCCAGGGAATAAAATATAAATGAAATATAACACTTTTCCCCAGTCGAAAATAGGGGAAAAAGCACAGTTTTAAAACTCACATAAATATTTGGAACAACTTCTCAAAACAAAACAAATCTTAAACAAGTTTAACAGGAACTTTTTATTATTAAAACTTACACTTAAAAAGAGTCTGTTATTATTTTATATAACATATACCTAAGGATATGACAAACAATCAAAAATATTTTGCAATATCAAATATGCGTATATTGTGGAACACAACATGTCGTACAAGGTTCTCATTATTATCACTTTATTTACATTTAAAATTTAAACATTGCTTTGTCGACATAATTAGATGGCCAGTTTCACTATGAGTTTTTAAAGCATAATTATATGACAAAGTCGATTATCCAGTTATTTTTATATTTTATCTGTGAAACGCCTAATGCCTTGCATTGATCTCTAACAGCGGGGAAGCTGGTGGAAATCGGAAGAAATTGACGAAAAATATCGCAAAGACGCAAGTCTCTTTCACCACTGGCACACACACGAGTGGGCTGCGTCGTTTCGACGACGACATAATACGATATATTTTATATCTTTCACCAAAAACGAGTCGCAGCCGAGATCTTTCTCTTCTTTCGCCGACGAACTGCGAAAGGCCACTGCCAAGGCCACGGCCGTATACTCGCTCCCACACACTCTGACCGTTGCGCAATAACTATAACGTTTATAATTATTATTAATACCACCGTCCTCTTCGCAAGTGCATCATTAATATTTGACGTTTTGGCAGCGATCTGCAACGATACGGCTGACGATTTCCGAACGTATTGGGGACAGGTCGATTGTTATTTGTTGATAATTGAAATAGATTCCTTAAGCGAGGACAATTATTTATATTTTATATTCACATTCACTCTAAAATACTTTTATGGGTACACCAAGCCATCATACGCAATTTTTGTCTTTGCTCTTGACATCATCGCACACACGAACGACGTGCGTGTTCCTGTCGAGTTTGCATTTAGAAGCGTTACCCATTGCGAATATTTCGTGACGTTGCAAATGTCGACGACGCAATTGTGTTTCCACCGTGTGATATAGCAACAAAGAAAATTCGACAAAAATTCGAATAATAACACGGTTTGCCCTACATATTTCATTATATTATTTAAATATTAAATGTGCGTGGATAGACGAGACTCGTGAGAGAAGGGAGGAAGTGCTGTAGGCCACAATATTACTATAATTTATGCTTTATATACTATTATAAATACAACAGTCGTGGGTACACTGTACTTGTATTATTATTACTATTTATGACTGTAACGATTCGTAGACAGTGTTTTAGTAATCAAGTGATTTTGAATCAAATCAGGTACTACAATATCAGTCAATTAGAATTGTTTCCGCTAGTGCAAAATATTACAAATATTATATACCTATTATAGTAGTTTTAGGTTCATAAAAGGTATGTTTCGGTCAACTTTATCCCTGCAGTTGTGTCCGTTTAGTTAATAGTTTGCACAGTTGCGGTTGTTGATATTAATTGGTATAAAAGTCTGTTCCAAAAAATTAAGGTTACTAATTATTATTTTCAAATCGTACACGGGAATTATATAGTTGTTATTAATTAAGTTGTATAGAAACTGAGAATTTGAAACTCTCACTGAGTCGTGTACCAAACTACTTTGCTTAATTTCGATTTTTGAATTGCCACTGTCTATTTATTGAATTCGATATTATTTTAAATTTCTAAGATATCGGTCGCCGACAAGAACCCAAACATATTTTCCGGTTTTCTTTGGAATGTATTTGCGAATGCAATTTCTCATGTACTCGCCATCATCGGCGGGACTGTGTACACAAAGTGGTGACAAGCAGATAACACTTACCCAATAGCGTGCGGCAAACGACGGCTGGTGCACTTGTTGACGGTTTTCCGGCTTTGCCGTTGTCTTGTCGTCGGCCGGCGGCGATATCTGCAAAGTGGTCCTGATGACGGCCGTCGCAGACGGTTTCGTCGTTATGGCCGACGCGCCGGTAGCGGCCGCGCAGACGACGGCGGCGGCCAGCGCGATGACGGCCGCCACCGTCCGCGTCGTTCTGTTCGTCATCGGCGGCCGCCGGCGGCACGGTTCTGTGGCTGCGGTGGCCATCGTGGGGATTTGTCGACCTTTGCCTCGATCGGCGCTCATATAGGTATACGAGACGAGTCGATGTCGAGCTGCAGCAAGATCGGAACAAAGTCGACTCGGCGGTATGGAGGTGGCCAGTGGCCAGTGGCTGCGAAAATACAACGACTGCTGCGTGGTGTCTTATTGGACCGTGAAAAATCTAGCGGCGGCGGCGCCGGTCATCGCGCGGTGGTTTTCGTCGTGATGGTCGTTGTCGTCGTCGTCGTCGTCGTCGACGTCTTCGGTGCTGCTGATGCGGCCGGTTACTCCGCGTTACGGTCGTGTACTACCGAATGTCGGCGCTGTCTCGACGAAGAAAGCGACCGCGGGCGGCGATCGAGATTCCTCCTCCGCGACGGCGGCGGTTATCGCGTACCTACCTAATATTTTACGAGAGAAATGTGTGTAATAGTATTATTATCATCATCGTCGGATATGAGCGCGAAAACGGATATTATATTATTATTATGTTGTTATTATTATTTATGATATTGTGACCACTGCCGTCGAATTTCCCACCACCAACTCGTCGGCGGCGGCGATCTTTCTCTTACTCGCGTTTTTTTCCCCGGAAATTTCTCTGTCCGCTAATATCGCGTTAATGACTGTTGCATGCAGCTGCAGCGTGCGGTTATTATACAGGGTGTTTCGAAAAAAAAATGTCTCCATCCGATCTAAAAAACGAAGAGACTGCAGGTGTTAGGGCGGGTAACGTAAAAAACAATTGAATTTAAATAATCCATTTTTAATTGTTTTATAGTAAGTTACAAACGTTCAATCAAATAACGACGCAGATTTATATAGGCACCACATAAATATTAAAAATAGGTATATTTTCATCTGAACGTCTTATGCAGACCTGACTGACGTCATTTCGCCAATCACTACAAACGCTAACAAGACACGTCCACAAAAAAAGAGATTGACCATTTTATCTTAGCAGTGGTACCTATATCGATCGGTTACCTTTAGATTTTTGCCAAGCCAAGTGTTAGTTCGCAATCGGATGAACACTTTTGAATCGTCGTGTATTGTGCACAGCAGATTGTTGTTGTTCTCGACGTGCGTATTCGGAATACTTCCACGGCCAGCACGAGTTTCAAATTTTCCTTGCGGTCTATAAATAATCGTATTATTACACCCGAAAGCGCAAATCTTCCTACCTTCACCCGTAATAATTATAAGGATACGTGTCGGTGTTATTAATTGAGTCCCATATCTGAACGGGATAAAAATAATGTACATCTTAAGTCAGTACTGTATAGGTATAAACAAAAATGATTCAACTGAATCTACGATAGAGAGAAAAGAAAAATATATCGATGTTTAAGTCCAACTAGTGCCTAATAGTAAAATAAATTACTCTTTCATAATAATATCCTAAAACATACTTAGTAATATTATATAAGCTATAACAGACCGTCTTCGCTAAAAATCGTTTTCCGTACGTCGTACCTATATATAATGATCTTATACTATTGAATTAAAATTTAACAAATTCATTACAGTGACATCTCTGAACACCTAATGTACAGCAGAGCGTTAACCAATTGTCAGCTTTTTTTTACTTTTATGTTTTAAATATTAATATTGGCACAAATTATACTTGTATCTTATATCATTGGTGCGTAAAGTATCAAAGTAGGTTCGTTGTGTGAGATCGTGACATATTAGGAATAATATTTCTAAAAAAAAAACAGGCATTATATTTCTTGACGCTTACGCCTCATTAATTTTGGTTCAAAATGATATGTAGGCATTGTACCTAATGATAGGCGATAGCCACTCCTTATAACTAACGGTTAACAAGAGTGAAATCATCACAGTCTTTACCTATTATAGGTACCTATATATTATATTGTGAATTATTATTTCCTTATCTACATAATCTATTCTCTATAGAGTATAGACTAGGATTGACACCCATCTGTCCGATCTCGACAACTGTACTCACCCTACGTACGTCTACGGTTGTGGTTATAAACGCAGTTCACTATATTGTATATTGTACTTAGTATAATTTGTTGTACTTTTAATAGTTTTAAACAATATATATATACACATATTATTTTGGGTATCTTTGATAGGTACATAAATCGTTCAATTGTCTAATATTAAATTATAAATAAATCAACATCAACCCAATTTCTTTTTCCTTCATTCGTCGAACATATGACAAGTCTGCAGTTTAATTATTAAGGTAAGTTAATTTATTCAAAAATTAATTCATTATGTGCATAATATATTATATGAAATTACTTGTGTACATTTATATAAATAGTACTATAGTGTATCACGTATTGTGTATACACACAAAACATAGATTATACATGATGAAAAATGTAAATGACAAATTATGATATTGATCAAATTTACTATTCTACATTTTTACATTGCTTCAAGTGGCTCCTAAACCCGTGGCTCGTAACACACACAAATAAAAAATTATAAAAATTGAATTACCTGCTCAAACAACAAATGATCATCGAGAGTACAGACTCTGTTTAACTTAATGATAATTTAAACACAAACACTTTAATACTTCTTTCAAAATGTAATTGCGTTTTTGAAAATTTATTTTTCCCATAATTAGAAATTATTACAACACAACATTTAGTAATTGTTATTATTTTCATCGTTATTAGTTTAGGCACATACATTTTTGACATTAAACTTCATATTTCCAAGCAGAATATTTTTCTGGACATTTTTAAACAGAGAATATCATACTATAACTTATAAGCTAATTAGTACTATACACTTTATCTTTAAAAGCAATTTTCATTTTTGATGATCAGAGTTAAGCGTGGCACAGAGGTGTCCTGTGAAATGTTGGTTCACTACTCCACTCATCAAAACTTTAATGGCTTATAACTAATTAACTGCTGGTACAAGATTATTTTTTTTATTTATTTTACAATTTTTCTTGTCTTAAGAGTGTAGCGAAACATATTATTATGTAGTATACATACCTACGAATTAATATGTTATGTTTTATTGCGATTTCGATTTCGACGACTATGATGTTAAAATATATCCTTATAATATCTGTTAATCGGTCCCATTTACTATGTTCGTTTACTAATTTGTACATTTATTTTTATTTTATTTTTAGAAATAAATTACGATCGGCTTCTAACGTATATTATACAATATTATATCAAACAAATAAACAATAGGTACATAAATATATATTTATTAATTATAATATTTTATAACATTAATAAAATAAAACACATACCTCATGGATAGTCAACAATAATAGTAAAAAAAAATTACAAAGCTTAGTATTTAAGACCAGATATAATATAGCTTTCACAATAACTTTAATTTTAAGATTGCATAGTTCTGAACACCAGTGGAAATACAAAAGGTCTTGTTGGATCCTATATGCGCAATTGGAACTCATAAAACTATATTCTATAGTTATATAATTATAGTATATACGATCGAAAAACCGAGGGAAATTGATATTTCCAAGCAGAACCGTTCTACTGTAGTAAACATTTTTGATCCACCGGCACCCGTTCCAAAAGTTCCATATAAAAGGATCGATAATTTAAAAAGTATACCAATAACAGGGGGATTATCTACCGGCCTATAATTTGCGAACAAATGACTGTTCAATGACAGCTTTTTAGATTGGTATACATGAAATATATAATATTTAACTGCGGGTCGGGTTTATGACTTGGCGTCACGGAATTATAATGTAGAGATAATATTTTTAAACTAGTTTAGTACATAGTTAACGATCAAAGTGATTTATAAAATAATAACACTGTATATTATGTATTATAAATTATAATATAGACACTTGTAATTTAAAAACTTGCATTTTTTATCCAAACGACCGTATGCCGTATGGTTATAACTTATAACGTATAATATTTAGCGTTTATAGTTTATATTATGTTATATGTTTTAAAACATGTTGTAGGTACTATTTTAGACTTAAGTACCTAATCTATAAACCGATTTTTTCATGATTTCTATTTTAAAATATTCAATTTTAACCTAAAACAAATAGAAACTGAATACAAGGTTAATTATACTACGATGCTCTAATTATGATTTATATGAATATTTAAAAAAAAAATCCAGACATGATAAAGCAGAAACTGGGTGTTGGACACACGTCTCGTTTCGGTCATGTAGTACTGCATAATATGTGTATCGTGTATTATTATAAATTATAATTAATAACAATTGTTATAAATTAGGTACACGGTATAAGGTATAAAGTCTAGGGTTAGAAAATTATAGATGCTGCAAATTTTCTATATTATGTTCTCGGTTTACAAATGACCAAGCTAGAAATCTATACTACATGATGATGACGTTATAAACGAAAATTTCGAGTATATATTTTGTCAATTTTATAATAAAAGTGAATATTCCTTAATTTTAATTTGTGTCCAAAGGTATTTTTTTTTAAATGGACAGCTAATTTAATAACAAATAGTGTTTTAAACTCAAATTTTTTTGAGTATTTTATATTATGAATTATGATTTTGCTATAGTTATACGGCATATGCGATATGCCACAATGAGTCACAACGGTCGGACGACGTACCTATCTATCTATTATTATTATTTTTGTCAAATCAGTTTTAATCATATTAATTTCATAACATAATAAGTATATTTATTTTTTGTTATTTTATCCTAACATAGTTTTTATTAAAATGTAACAAACTATTATTCAGTTATAATTTATTATTGAAAATTTTATCGATTTTAACTTCTATATAACTTCTAGGATCTTGATTAATTATATAATAAGCAATGACTATAAGTAATAAGTATATTTTTAAGTAATGAAAAGATGAATTATTGCGTTTAAAAAATGTTTCAGAATGTTACACGGCATTTAATATTTATTAATTGAACGTTTTAAAAGTTAAGCATAAAATAATTTTTATTGAGAAAGATGTTTAAATGAGTGTATTATATATTTATAATTTATGTACTATGAGTTGACCTGTATTACACCATTACACGTTAAGTTCTTACATACCGAAACCTACAAGTTTAATTAACAGATATCTCAAGATAACAAATTAATAAAACGCCCTAAGTAAAATTATTTTACACTTTCATTACAAGCTATGTCAATAATATTTTAGATAAAGATTAACTAATGTTCAAATAATAAGCATTTGTTATCATGACTTTTAACTTTTAAGACACACAATTACAGTTTTTATCAAAATAAAAGTAAATGGTATTCTTTAATGACACACAGAAGTGAGTATTTAATTTGAATCACTTTGTATATGCTACTTTGTATTTAAAGA